AGCTTCCTCAACCCTATCCACTTGTTCTTCTTCCTCCTGATCTGCCAGACTAAAGTTTCCACCTTCAGGCCAATTTGTTATGATTTCTAGGATTCCAGGGTGATTTGAGTTTCCTATTCGGGCACGCTGTGTAATCAAAGCAATCCACTTACTCCATGTGACATCAGTGGCATGATGCATAGAGGGCACCTTTCCCTTGAACATCCAGTTCAGCACCGGTAGTCGGGGTGCCAGGAGAAGCTGTGCTTCTGTGCCAATCACCTCTGAGGCTGCTTGTATTCCTTCATAATCTTCTAGGATTTCCTTCTCCCTGGGGGTGTAGTTGGCTTCAGATCCTCTGTAGCATCAGCTCCAGAAACCGAGTCGTCAGCCTTGGGTCTCACCAGGCACCTTTTGCCAGAGGCTCCAGGAGGGACCATTATCCCTGGCTGCAGAATAAAGTACATTTTTCACGTTTGGTTCTGTCCTGACTGGTCCAAGAACCACTGCATGTGCAATCTCCTGCTTAATCTGTTTAAAGGCTTGCTGTTGTTCAGGACCCCATTGGAAATCATTCTTCTTACGGGTCACTAAGTAAAGAGGGTTCATGATTTGACTATATTCAGGGATATGCATCCTCCAAAAACCTATGACCCCTAGGAAAGCTTGTTTCCTTCTTGTTAGTCGGTGGAGCCATCGCTATGATCTTGTTGATGACTTCTGTTGGAATCTGATGACATCCATCTTGCCATTTCACCCGTAAGAATTAAATCTCTTTGGCAGGTCCCTTGACCTTACTCTTTTTGATGGCAAAACCAACTTTGAGGAGAATCTGGATGATTTCTTCTCCTTTTTCAAAAACTTCCTCTGCTGTGTTCCCCCATACAATAATGTCATCAATATACTATATGTGTTCTGGAGCGTTACCCTTCTCTAGTGTAGCCAGAATCAGTCCATGGCAGATGGTGGGACTGTGTTTCCACCCCTGGAGCAGTCGGTTCCAGGTGTACTGCACACCCCTCTATGTAAAAGCAAACTGTGACCTGCATTCTGCTTGCTAAGGGGATGGAGAAGAATGCATTTGCAATATCAGTGGTGGCGTACCACTTCGCTGCCTTGGACTCCAGTTCGTACTGGAGCTCCAACATGTCTGGCACAGCGGCACTCAATGGCAGGGTAACTTCATTTAAACCACGATAGTCCACAGTCAGTGTCCATCCTCCATCACACTTACATACAAGCCAGATGGGGCTATTGAAGGGTGAGTGAGTCTTGCTGACCACCCCTTGGCTCTCCAGCTCTCAGATCATCTTATGGATGGGGATCACAGAATCTCGGTTTGTTCGGTATTGTTGTCCATGTACTGTTGTAGTGATCGTTGGCACTTGTTGATCTTTGACTTGCAATAATCCCACAGTGGAAGGACCTTCTGAGAGACCAGGCAGGGTAGATAATTGTTTAAATTTCTCTGTAGCCACTGTGGCTACACCGAAAGCCCATCGATATCCCTTTGAAGTATCCTCTCCTGAGGTAATCAATGCCAAGGATGCAAGAGGCCTCTGGGCCAGTCACAATGGGGTGCTTTTCCCATTTGTCCCCTGTTAAACTCACTTCAACCTCTAGCACTGATAATTCTTGACTTCCTCCTGTTACTCCAGAAATCCAGATGGTCTCTGTGCTTTTATGCCTCGATGGCATCAAGGTGCACTGTGCGCCAGTGTCTACTAAAACTTGGTATCTCTGAGGATCCGATGTGCCAGGTCATCGAACCCACACAGTCCAGTAAACCCTATCGTCCCTTTCCTTCTCCTGGCTGAAGGCAGGGCCCCTCTATTGTTCTTGATCAGAGTATTCACTATCTGATCTTTGCATTGCCCAATCAGAGGTCCCCTCATCAGGATCACAGGAATTGATCTTGGTCTTTCTGTGTCTCAAAGGTTGTTGATCTCTTTCTGGGGCCTCTGCATCAACTATGTGGATGGCTTTCTTACTATCTTTCTTCCCTCTTAATTCTCGTACCCGGGCTTCAAGTTTATAGGTAGGTTCACCATCCCGCTTCTTCATGCCTTCCCCTTGGTCATGCAGAAAGAACCATAGCTCACCACGTGACCTGCTCTTGGGGATTCCTTTCCTTCTGAGTAGGACAGAGGGAGACTGAGACTGATCTCTTGGGCTCTCTCTGCGGTGATTCTCGCATTCAGGGCACTTGTAAGGCCTCTCCATCCTCTCCCCAGTGTGGGTGCACCGGTGGTAGAGATCGGAGCTGTCTCTGAAATCTAACTTGCTGGCCCGTGGGAGTGCGGAGGCTTCCATACCTTCTGCTATACTCCGTATCCAGGCACACATCATGTCCACAGTTGGTTCATTCATCCTTGGATGGTATATTGTTAACAGGCAATTAACATACGATGCAGGGGCACCTTGAATTACTTTTCTCCACATGGGCAGCGTGCAAGGAACAAGCTCTGGATTTATGAAGTTGTTATTGCCTGGGTCACTGTAAATCATTTCCAGCATGGTCAATTCCCACAGGTACTGGACACCTTCCTCTGCAGTAGTCCACCTTCTTGGGGAGCTCATTAGATCTTCCTTGAACAGGTACCTTTCTCTCACACCAAAGAGGAGCCGGCCCCAAAGACTCCGAATATACCTCTCCCTTCCAATTTCCTGTTCAATTTCACGATCTCTGGCAATCGATCCTAGTTGCTGTGCTTCATGACCCTCTAACAGGTGACTTCTAGCCCCGTTATCCCAGCATCAGAGCAGCCAAGTAAGAATTCTTTCACCAGACTGGCAGCTGTAATCTCTCTGCAAGTCCCGAAGTTCTGATGGGCTCAGGGACCAGGTAACTTCACTTTCCTGTGTGATTTCCTCTCTGCTTCTCCCACGTGGAACCGCTTCCTCTAGTGAATCACTGGCTATTTGTCCTGCCTCCGCTTCTTCTCTTGGAGGCGCGGGCAGGGTAGATCCTTCTCCTTCTTCCTTCCTTACTAATCACTGAGGTAGGCCTGTAGGTCCTGTAGATCTCCTTGTCCATATCTTCTTTTTCACTACAGGGGCAATAGTGACTTCAGATGTCGTAGTTTGGGTCCCTGTCTCAGTCATAGTCTTTTTAGAGTATTGAACAGCAGCTCGATAGGCACAGGTCAGGCCCCAGTACAGGGCAAGAAGTTGCTGGTTTTGATCGGGGTAGGCAAGGCACCCTTCCATTAAATGACGTGTCAGTTTGTTGGGGTTGAATACTTGTTCTCATGTGAAGTCCCAGGCAATGGGGGGTGTTAAATGCCCTAAGAACCTGCCTAAATTCATCCACATCCTCTGCCACCCAGGAACTGGGCCCTTTAATGTACATTCCAGTAAGTTCTCTCTTGAAGTTGGTTTTGTCCTACAACAAGGTAACAAAGATAATACCACTTTTCCCAATTCCCATAACGTTCTCATAGTGTTGGTTGTAAGCAATACCATGACCAGGCAGCTTAAGTAAGGATTAGTGAGAATCGCTGGCGCCTTCATTACAAAGCCCTCTCTGTCAAAATTAAGAAGGGAAAGGAAGTTTTATCCGTCCCCCTGGAGGTCCTTTAAGGGGTAAGTTCCACATCCCAGAAAGACTGTTAGTAAAAGTAGAAGTATAGATATTAAAACTGGCCGTATAGCCATGTTTATGTTAATATGTTCCTGAGTTAGCAAAACAAAAAGATAAGTAAGGCAGTGTTTATATAAACAACCTTTCTTGGCAGTCTTCACTGGACCTGCACCCAAGCTCCCTCCAGAGGGAAAGGGGAGGAGGGAAGGGGGAGAAGAAGGAAAAAAACCTACGAAATCAAAACTGCCAAGAAAAGCAGCTTTATATGTACACAGAGAGGGAAAGAAATTATAAACACTATACACACAGAGAAGAACTAACATCAAAGACTACTTCCCCAAAACGAACGCTCTCCTCCCCCAAAGAAGCAGCCTGTCCACAACCACGCAGCTACCCGGAAGAGAAGGAAGGACCTTTCTTCCTTCTTTTATATCTGAGCTTATGTAACATAGTATGGAATATCTTATTGGTAAAATATACATCAGGTGATCTATCCTAGTTCCATTTCCCTCTCAGGGAGGGTAACAAACCCATTGCACACATGATTCTTGACTTTCTATTTTAAAATCAAGAAAAAAATATTGAGAGCTGTTTTAAATGACTGATAAATTTTTGTTAAATTAAAGTAGTGATGGCAATAAGCAATGACACATTTCATTTTTTTTCCCAAATAACTGTGTTGGGAGAGGTTTCTAAGGAGATCTTGCACTGGCAATGATTTCTGCCTGTGCCTGGTCTGTATTTTGTCAAGCAGTGTTACAAGATCTTCGGTCAGTCTTCTTATGGTCCAAAGCAATATGGACCACAAAGATGTATAAAAATGCTGCATGTGAAATTACAAAATAAAACTATCCACATTTCAAAACTTTAAAAACAGTGAGAAATTGTTAGTGAAAAACTTTAGGTACATCTTCCTCAAAAAAATCATGTAATAATGCAGTTTTACAAATGAGACTGTTATTTGTACTTTTTTTTTATACATCTTTGCTCAATGGGAAAAGGGAGGCTCTTTTTTTTTCTACAGTGCACAGGATCTGTACATGTATTCATTTTCATGTTAGACAAAAGTTGTTCCCAGTTTCTAATTATTTCAGTTCAGTACAGCTTAGTCTTTACTTAAGTTTGTTCATATGCATTTTATTGCATATGTTTGTTTTGGATTCATGAACCAGTGCTAATTCTGTTATCTTTAAGCATTTAAAAAAATAATCTGGGTGAAGTTATCACTGGCACACTGAAAATGTCTTTCTGCTGCTTATTGTCTTGAATATAAGAGCTGTCTAAAACAGATGTTTGGCAAGTAAATATCTCTGCCATGTAAAAAAAGGTCCTGTCTGGTACAGTTGTCTATATTTATTTTTAGTGTTCATAGGAATTCGGTTTTCATTTTAATGATTTTTTTTTCTTCCCCTCCCCTGCTTCTCCTGCAGGTACTTCATTTCAATGTCAGTCAATCCATCAAGATCACATTTTCAGCAATGACAGTGACAAGGTGAGGTTTGCATAAATGTTCCATTTACAAGGTGCATATTTTTATGAATCACATTGATTTTATTGTACTAATAGTACACTAATAATATTTATTTTCCAGGCTCAGTAGCTAACATTGTGTTACACTTTAAAATGTCTCTGGCTTTTTAAGAAGTATATGTACTTGCTTCACTCAAGACAATCTTTTTAGATGATTAAGGAGATATTTGTCTTATAGCATATTTTTCTTCTTGCTTGCATTCCCTTGCTATTATAAATATTTTTGGTTTACCATACAGATACTCACAGGTAATAAAAAGTGGTAAAGTCATTGTTCATACGTTAGGCACACTAATCATAGAATCATAGAATCAGCTGGGTTGGAAGGGACCTCTGAGATCATCAAGTCCAACCCTTGATCCACTACCGCTGCGGTTACTAGACCATGGCGCTAAGTGCCACATCCAGTCTCTTTTTAAAAATCTCCAGGGACCGAGAATCCACCACCTCCCTGGGCAGCCCATTCCAATGTCTGATCACCCTCTCTGTAAAGAAATTCTTTCTAATATCTAACCTAAACCTCCCTTGGCACAACTTGAGACCATGCCCTCTTGTCTTGCTGACAGTTGCCTGGTAAAAGAGACCAACCCCCACCTGGCTACAACCTCCTTTCAGGTAGTTGTAGAGAGTGATGAGGTCTCCCCTGAGCCTTCTCTTCTCCAGGCTGAACAACCCCAGCTCCCTCAACCTCTCCTCATAGGACTTGTGCTTGAGTCCCTTTACCAGCATCGTTGCCCTCCTCTGGACCTGCTCCAGCACCTCAATGTCCTTCCTGAACTGAGGGGCCCAGAACTGGACACAGTACTCGAGATGTGGCCTCACCAGCGCTGAGTACAGGGGAAGAATCACATCCTTGGACCTGCTGGTCACGCTGTTCCTGATACAGGCCAGGATGCCATTGGCTTTCTTGGTCACCTGGGCACACTGCTGACTCATGTTCAGCTTCTTGTCAATCCAAACTCCCAGGTCCCTCTCTGTCTGGTTGCTCTCCAACCACTCTGTCCCCAGCCTGTAGTGTTGCATGGGGTTGTTGTGGCCAAAGTGGAGGACCCGGCACTTGGCCTTGTTGAACCTCATCCCGTTGGAATCGGTCCAACTCTCCAGTCTGTTCAGGTCCCTCTGCAGAGCCCTCCTGCCTTCTGGCTGATCGACACTCCCCCTCAGCTTAGTGTCATCTGCAAATTTGCTGATGATGGACTCAATCCCCTCGTCCAGAGCATCAATAAAGATATTAAACAGAACTGGGCCCAACACTGATCCCTGGGGGACACCACTAGTGACTGGCCGCCAACTGGATGCAGCACCGTTCACCACCACTCTCTGGGCCTGGCCCTCCAGCCAGTTCCTAACCCAGCACAGAGTGCACCTGTCTAAGTCATGGGCTGCCAGCTTTTTCAGGAGTATGCTGTAGGAGACGGTGTCAAAGGCCTTGCTGAGGTCCAGGTAGACCACATCCACAGTCTTCCCCTCATCCACCAGGTGAGTCACCTGATCATAAAAGGAGATCAGGTTGGTCAGACAGGACCTGGCCTTCCTAAATCCGTGCTGACTGGGTCTGATCCCTTGCCCATCCTGTAGGTGCTGTGTGATTGCAGTGAGGATGATCTGCTCCATAACCTTGCCTGCCGGGGTTTTGAAGTTGTTAACTCACTTGTCTACCATTGGTTTCT